CTTTCTAATAATTTTAACCTAACGTATCTAATCAATCTAATATATTTAATCTATCTAATCCATCTAATCTATCTAGTCTATCTACTCTATCCAATCTGTCCAATCTATCCAAATCTACCAAATCGATCTAACCTATCTAACCTATCTAATCTATCTAATCTATCTAGTCGATGTATTCTATCTAATCGATCTAATCGATCTAATCTATCAAATCTATCCAAAACTATCAAATCCAGCTAATCTATCTAATCTATCTTGTTTATCTTATCTATCTAATCTATCTAGTCTATCTAGTCTATCTAATCAATCTAGTCTATCTAATCTATCTAATCTAATCTAGTCTAATCTAGTCTTATCTTTTTTCTTATCTTGTCCTATCTTATCTTATCGTATCGTATCTTATCTATCTATCTATCTATCTAGCTAGCTATCTATCTGTCTATCTTTCTATCTGTCTATCTATCTGTCTAGCTACCTATCTATCTATCTATCTATCGTATCGTATCGTATATCGTATATCGTATATCGTATATCGTATATCGTATATCGTATCGTATATCGTATCGTACATCGTATCGTATATCGTATCGTATATCGTATCGTATCGTATCGTATCATATCGTATCGTATCGTATCTATCTAGCTATAGATAGCTAGCTGGCCATCTATCTATCTATCTGTCTATCTTTCTATTTGTCTATCTATCTATCTACCTACCTACCTATCTATCTATCTATCTACCTATCTATCTATCTATCTACCTATCTATCTATCTATGTGTCTATCTATCTATTTATCTACCTATCTATCTATCTATTTATCTATTTATCTATCTGTCTATCTATCTATCTATCTATCTATCTATCTATTTATCTGCCTATCTACCTATCTATCTATCTATCTATCTATCTATCTATCTATCTATCTATCAATCATCCATCTATCTATGTATCTATCTACCTAGGTGGGGCCCTCTAGATAGCTAAGTCGGCACGTTTGCCTTGTTTAACTAGGGATGACGGAACATATAACCATGGTCGGTAACGGGGTCTATCAACCAACAAACATCAATGGGTGGGCCCACCTTCTATCTACCAGTAATTTTAACGTAACTATGGGCCATCTATACCATATAGCTATGTTCAATAACCAGAGGGTGCCTACAATGTGGGGCCCCCAAGATAGCTAAGTTGGTTTATGGTTGTTACAACCCGTGTTGATTTTCCCCATCATTGCCAGACCGCCCCAGGAGACGAGCAGAGCGGCGAAGCCGCGTGTTCGAAGGAAGCATAGATTCATTGGTGTCCCATGCCAATTGCAGTGATGTAGATTAAACCAGCATGGATTTGAGCAACCATAATGGTGGTAAAATGAAATCTATTATGATATATTGGAGATCTATGAATATTTTGTTTTATATATGATATATGGAGATGTTTATCATCTACTGGAGGTGAAAACCATTTTTTTGAATGTTCAGTGAGATCTTTGCTGATCAACCTATGACTCCCGTGCTGTGGGGATCGCAGGGCGCTGGGCGGACGTCGACTCAAAGCTTCAGCCAGAAACTGCCAGGGGTTGCAAGAAAAGTTGGCCGCTCAAACAAGATAATCAATACACAAAATATTGTATATCTGGTTGGCGGTTGGGAACATTTGTTTTTTTTTCATATTTTGGGATTTTCATCATTCCAACTGACGAACTCATATTTATCAGAGGGGTAGGTATACCACCAACCAGTTGCATATAGTTGGAGTTCAAGTTCATGGCTGATCATAGGATATCCATGTCCATCATTAATCCATTAACCCACTAGTAACTTGGCCATAACACATGTGTTCCAAACGCAGAAAGTGGTCCATAGTAACTTGGTAAGCTAAGTTGGTTTGCAATTTGCAATTCCATGATTTTTGTTGTGTTTAAGATACATATATCTATATTTAATTGGGATTATAAATATAAAACAACTTTAAATTTAACTGGGGCGGGGTACCACCTTTTTTTTTTGGTTCAATGGCTACCACAAACCCAAAAACAGTAAGAGACATCGAACTGAGCACCACCTCGTAATGATCTTGGTATGGGGTTTGGGATGACCATACCCCATAACAAGAGTAGTTTGCCCTCCAGTAATCAAACATTCTGGTTGGGAAATGCCCTATAAATGAAGGTTTTTTGCCGGGAAAATCATCTATATACATAACTGGTTGGTGGTTTCAAACATTTTTTCAATATATTGGGAATAATAACCCCAACTGACTAATATTTTTTCAGAGGGGTAGGTATACCACCAACCAGATAAATTGGGGATGTTCCAGTGCCACCTTTGATTACCGGAGGGTAGCCACGGCACGCCACCCTCTGAAAGCTCCCATGAATTGCTACCCTTGGCAGCGACACAGCGTCGTACCGACAAAGGCCAGTGTCTCCCGAGAGGAAAAGTGAACAGATCACAGCTGATGGATGCCCCTGGTCGCTGGTTCCAAATGTAAGAAGTTGGAAATATCACTGATGGGATATATAGGCCTTATATCAATGGGCCTGAAAAATAGGCCTTATGTATGGTAGGTACCTCCAATCAATCGGTTCCTGAAATGGCCATTGATTCTAAATGATTATAAGGCATCAGACTAACTAGTTTATGCGGGATTGTTATAGCCCATAATGGGGACACCTATGAACCAACCAGCATTTCATGGGATGGAATAGGGATAGCCACACATGATCAGCCAGGTTTGTGTTAGCCACAAATGATCATTATGTTGATGAAAATAGTTTGATTACAAAAAGGTAAGGTTGAAATACGAACATAATCATAAACATATACACATATATATATATAATGTATATAATGTATTATATATATATGTATAATCTGTATATATATAATGTATATAATGTATTATATATATATATATATATGTATAATCTGTATATATATATATATATTATGATATATTTCTCAATGGCTACTGAGGTGCATATCGCATGAACTAATGACCCCCATCTCCCGTGCGAAAAAAAAGAATGATCCCCTGAGGTCGGTTTTTTTGACGGTTGGAGTTATGGCCATGGTAAACATACAAAAAACTATTGAAAATAGCCATGTCTAATGGAAAAAACGCCATAAACTATGGAAAATGATAGGGATTTATGTACCGGGTAAACTACAAGTTTGCTATTGAAAATGACCATAGAAATAGTGGATTTTCCCATTAAAACACGGTAATTTCCCATAGTTTTTTGTATGTTTACCAGCGGGTATTAGTTATATATACGTGCCAAAAAAAATGATACAACACATTTCCTAAATGAGGTTTTGTCAACTGGTATTTCGGGCCATAACGGTTATAAGTTATAACGGTTATAACCCCATATACTAGCCAGCTACTATATTGCATGATCATTAAAAACTGTAGAGTTTTTTATTCTTGTTCAACATCTGAATACCTCCAAAACATTGCATTTTTTTTTGCCATATAGATCGCAATGGCAATTTGGGGACACTAATCATAAATCCACCACATTTTGATATGTTTTGCGAAAACAAATAAACTGATTGGTGGTTTGGAACATTTTTCATGTTTCCATATTTTGGGAATTTCATCATCCCAACTGACGAACTCCATCATTTTTCAGAGGGGTAGGTATACCTTCCAATCAGATTTCGACACGCCATCTCTACATTTCAAAAGATGCTGGGCCGCCTTGGCGGCCGGGGCGGCTCGGCCTTGAGGTATGGATCTGTGGCCCATAAAAGAAGGGTTTTATCAACAAAAATAAAAATGTAACCAGCTGAAATATATGAATTGATGATATGTAATTGATTTATATTGATTTATGATAGATGTCTGTTGGTTTAGATCTCCAACTAACTGTTGGATTGAAGGGGTCGAATTTAAAGTTCTGGGAGTAAAAATAAACCATGATACCCTCTGGTAAACTAACACTATGGGAAATCACCATATTTCATGGGAAAATTCACTATAAATGGCCATGTTCAATAGCTATGTTAGTTTACCAGAGGGTATTTGCTGGAGGCACACTTTGTAGACATAAGAGCAGTTCCCAAAATCCACGTTGGTTGGTCTTTGGCTATAGCGATTTTGAACTCGTCCAACATGGGAACTATGGGAATCGGCCATTGGTTTTGTGCCCATTGGTTGGGATTGATCCTTTGGTAAACTAACAGTTTGCTATGGAAAATCACCATGTTATATGGGTAAACCAACTATAAATCACCCATTTTCCATAGCTATGTTAAATGACCAGAGGGTACGAATTTAATGATGTTTGTGCGTCTGCCTCTTCAGGGATTGACGACAGAATCAGTTCCAGATATTTTGGAGTAATTATCATAATTATCCACCATGTGGATTCATGTACTGAGATTACAGATATAGTACAATGTGAGGCCCCCAAGATAGCTAAGTTGGTTTATAACTCCAATTTCACTATGGTTTATGGTACGCAAATAACGAACTGGTTACTGAGTCGAATCTAAACCAACATACATAACTGGGGGGGCCCACGTTGTAACCCCCCAATCAGAATCATAAGATCAAAACCAGATCTTTGCAGTTTTTACCTAGATCAAGCATGAAGGATCCATGATAGACTATGAAGCTGAGCGAAACGACAACCACAATGTGACGTACCCCGAAAACGTTCAAAACAGTGCATGGAACGATGAACATATACCTTCCACCCTCTGGTAAGTTAACGTGGCAATGGGACATTCCCTATAGATGGAGGTTTTAATCGGAAAATCATCTGTAAATGAAGCATTTTACATTGCCATGTTTGACTATGGGAGGGTAAGCACTTCATCTCAAATCTGTATGCCTTTATTTGAGATACTCTTTCATCCCTATACATTGATCTGAAAGATACAAAAGATATTCTACAGAAAGAGAGTTGTAGCTTTTATCGCACCAATTTATACCACATGTCAATCATATTTTGCCGCAGAACAATCAGTAGAAATCCGCAGAAGATTCCGGAGAAAACTGTGCAGCGGCCGCTTCATCGGAGATGAGGTGACGCGGGGGAAGGAATCCAAAACAACGAGCCATGAAAAATACCCTATCCTCCTATCCCATGAAATACTGGTTGGTCAATAGGTCAGTAGTCGCCCGATTCTGGATATTCCTGGGGAAATATATTCCCCAACTTTTAACTTACAGTTAAGGCCGGGAATACCATTTATAAGTCGGTTAAAACATGTTGAAACATGTGAAAACCCCTTTATCGAATGAAAACCCCATTTCTAAGCATGAAAAACCACTCAGAATTGGTAAAGGCCCTTGACTGCAGGTGGTGGTAATCCCAAGAATAACCATTTTAACGAGTGGTATCTTATTCATGGCTCAGTTGGGCCATTGCCGGATGTTTTTTTTTTTCCGTTTGCCATACGCAGATCTTGGTTTTAACATTTCTGGATTTAGATGGGCTTGCACATTTATCACACCAAAAATTAAACCTTCAACTTTGGAAGTTTAGGAAATACTGATGTTCAGGAAGCTTGGGGTTCGCTGGGTTTGCCAAAAATTGAAAGAATCAAACCCAATCCCATCTTAATCAATGTTCAGGAAATACTCTGAATGGTATCGAAATCCTGCACCAGTTGGTAACTATTGGGATTCCTGTGAAACACTGGGACTGTAATGGGCTTCTAATGGGATGTTTCGCATCGACTGGTGCAGGATTTAGCAACCATCCACAGTATCATCAAAGAAGCAATCTTTCGCAGGAGATTAGAGTGTTTCAGGCTGATCACACTTCCGGTGAAGTGACCTTGCAGGGGAAGTTTAGTCTTTGGACTTTTGGGGGAAAACATGTTGGATACTTTAATGTGGATAATGTGGTATACATCCGACCCCAGCAATGAAGCTCATCACCAGTTCAAGTCGATGGCAGCTGAACGCTCGAGCGACGAGCTTTATGCTCCTCCAGAGGAAAAGTTCAGGTCTTGATCGATTTATGTATCCGTTCCCATAAATTTCCATCTGGTTGGTGGTTTGGAACATGAATTTTATTTTTCTATATATTGGGGATGTCATAATCCCAACTGAAATCATATTTTTCCGAGGGGTTGGTCAACCACCAACCAGCCATATTTGTGGCTTAGATTCCCAAGTTCCGCTGGAGAAATTCATTTTTTTGTAGATGACATGTCACGTTTGGTGCTTAAATCATAAATCTTCTTGGTTAAATGAGGAAGTGTTACACCATTTGTCGCGCTACACCAACATGGTTTTTAAATGTTTTCAATTTCAAAGCATCCTCATCCCAGAGTTTTGTTGCTTACCCTCCAGGAAAAGAACATGGCAATGGAAAATCCTCCATTTAAGCAGATGCTTATCCGAAATTCTCCGAAGATCCACTCTGAATGGATTTCTCACGTAGTTTTCCATAGTTTTCCCATTGAAGATCCTTAAATGTGCCACGTTTCACCATTTTTGCGGGCGCAGGTGCGGGGCAAAGCTGCCTACTTCGGAGGCACCCAGCCTGACGCGTTCGGGAGCCCGGCATTGTTTGGGAGCAGAAACGAGGTGAGAAACCAGGTCAATCTTACATGGATACTTTAATCCTTTAGTCTTTTGGTATTAGTTAACTAAAGAATATGGAGGGCCATTTATTTAGGGATATTTTTTTTTAGTTTAGGGATTTTTTTTTGGATTTCTTCCTGCTTACTCTATTGCCTCCTGCAGTGCTTCTCTGCTTCTTTGCTTCTATTCCTTTTTTTGTTTTTTTTTACTTTTCTTTGCTTTTTTGCTTTTTTGCTTCCCTTGCTTTTCTTTGCTTTTTTGCTTTTTTGCTTTTCTTTTCTCGCTTTTCTGCTTTTCTTTGCTTTTTTGCTTTTCTTGCTTTTCTTTGCTTTTTTGCTTTTCTTGCTTTTTTTGCTTTTCTTTGCTTTTTTGCTTTTCTCGCTTTTCTGCTTTCTTTGCTTTTTTGCTTTTCTTGCTTTTCTTTGCTTTTTTGCTTTTTTGCTTTTCTTTGCTTTTTTGCTTTTCCATGAGGTGTGGAGCAACATCTTCTATCCATCTATATCCATCTATATCTATCTATATCTACGTATCTATATCTATCTATGTCTATCTATATCTGTATCTATATCTACATCTATGGCTGTATCTATATATCTATATACCTATATATATCATATATCTATATAATTATCTATATATCTATATATCTATATATATATCTATATATATATATATATCTATCTATATATCTATATATATCTCTATATATCTCTATATATATCTATATATTTCTATATATCTCTATATATATCTATATCTAGATATCTATATACATATATATCTATCTATCTATATATCTATCTACCTATCTATCTATCTATCTATCTAATTATCTATCTATCTATCTATCTATCTATCTATCTATCTATCTATCTATCTATCTATCTATCTATATCTATATATCTATATCTCTGTCTATATATATACTATATAACTATATATCTATATATATATATATATCTCTATATATCTATATCTCTCTCTCTATATATATATATATTTATATACCACCATATATCTATATATCTGTATATATCTATCTATATTTCTATATGTATATATACATATATCTTTATATCTATATATCTTTAAATATATATATATATATCTATTTATCTATATATCTATATCTATATATATATATATATCTGTATATATATATATATCTACCTAAAAGGTTTGCATTATCATGCGGATGATATTCAAACCCCAAGCCAACCCTGAACCAAACCTTATATAAATAGATCTTAAACCAACTCGATGATAACATCAAATGAAACTATTGTGCATCGTTGTGCCTTAACCTACATTCCACATGTTTCCAAGGTGCATGTCGTGTAGTATATACACCTTGAGTATCACATTCAACCTAGCACCTTGCATGTGAAAATAGGTGTTTCCAATCTGCTTTGGGGGGGAGGCGCTGCGCCGTCCCCCCCAATCCCCCCCTCCCGCTTTTTTTTATTTAAATTCAAGCTTGCACACATTTCAATACACTACTTTGGTTAGAATATATATATATATATATATACATTGTATATATATATATATATTGTATATATATATATTGTATATATATATATATATTGTATATATATATGTATATTGTATATATATATTGTATATATATATATATATTGTATATATATATAACAACACTAACACTAGCAACACTAACAACACTAACAACACTAACGGTAACAACAACAACAACAACACCAACACCAACACCAACAACAGTAACAGTAACAACAAACAACTGTTGGAATGTCAGCCTTCAGCTCCAAAATCCTGCAAGTACTGTGAGGAATGTAGCTGTAAAATGTTGCACATACGGTGGAAATGCAGATTCCAGCTCAAAAATGCTGCAAAGAGCATGGAAAATGGACAGAACATGCTGCAAACTGTTGCAAATACCGTGGAAAATACAATGGAAAATGAGAGGTTCGAACTCAAAACCGTTGCACATACCGTGGAAATGGCAGTTTCCAGCTCCAAAATGCTGCAAATAGCATGGAAAATGGTGAGAACCGGAAATCCAAAAAAAATTCCCCAAACTAAAAAAAATAATATCCCCAAACAATTTCCTACCCAAAGAATATCTACTAACCAGCAAAGAATTTAATTTTTTGCAGGGTATCTAAGATTGGCAATGGAAACATCATGATCCTCTGCAGTTATGGCCCTAAACAGTTGTGTTTGCATATTTCTTTGGGCTTATGATAATATATAATAATGATGTGTAAGATATAACATCATTCCATTTTTAACTGTTAGGGGCCGTAATTTTTGAACAACTTGTGGTGATTTATATAATGGTGATATATATATATATAGTAATATATATATAATGCCTGCTAAGCTGTTAAGTTAACCTACATTCTTGTAGGTTTTTGATACCAATAATCCTGGGAAACCGACCGGTAACATAGAATTACCAGGGAAAGTTCAAAATACCTGGATTATTGGAAATAAATACCTAAGTTTTCCAAGATTTTGTGAGACATTCATGCATGCTGAACTGTAGACTTCTTGGATCATAGTGAAGAAGATGTATCGGAGTATCAATAAACAATATGTTTATTAGCGTTTGGAAAGTATATCATGGAAATTTGAGATAAACATACAATCAGCTATCATTTCATCATATCCATTTCCGGATTTCAACAGGTAACATTATTTCCCAACCCTAAAAAAGCCAATTCATGTTATTAAAATATATAGGTTTTTAATATTCTATTTTAGTGTGGCTTATGGATTTGTAAACTGAGTTTATTCTATTCTAGTGTGGTTTATAGCTTAGTTAATACTCTATTAAATATATATAGGTTGTTAATATTCTATATATCTAATATGGTCAAATTAGAGATTAATAATCTATTAATGTTTGTTGATTAAAATAGAATATTAACAACCTATAGAATAATCTATTAATAGTATTAGTTGCTGGAGTTGTTGGGACTGGGATGTAAACTGACTTCGGACGCGGCAGGTTTCTGATGATTTTTTCAAATGCCGAAAGGTGATGAGTTTGTTCCAGAACTCGCTGGTTGATCAGGGCTGCCAGGGAGATGTACCCGGCCTGGTAAACTAACAGTTTGCGAACTGGAAAATGGCCCAGTCGAAATAATGGAGAATCACCATGAATAACCATAAACTATGGAAAATGATAGGGATTTACCTGGTAAACTAACAGTTTGCTATTGAAAATGACCATAGAAATAGTGGATTTTCCCATGGTAACATGGTGGATCCTTCCAGTTCGCAAACTGTAAACGTTTACCAGAGGGTAACCATCATTTTATAGCTGGTTGATGTTTTGGGCAGTCTGTCAACGCTGCAACGTCAAGGATGAATAAAATTGAAAAACCACCTGGAGATGTTAAAAAAGCTGATTGAATCATCATAACTGGTTGGTGGTTTGGAACCATGGAATTTTATGACTTTCCATTCAGTCGGGAATTTCATCATCCCAACTGACGAACTCCATCATTTTTCAGAGGGGTTGGTCAACCACCAACCACTTGTGGTTTTATACTTGGTGGCGAACTTCCCACGAATCGTTGAAGGGTGGGCTAGTTTGCCCTTGTGGATTCCAGGAGATTAGGGAACAAATCCACTCAAAAAAGTGGGGTGAACTAAGCCACCTTTTGACGCTTCCTGGGTAGTTCACCACCAAGTACACAATGGCTTTACGGTGGAGATATTTCATGGGAAGTCATCTATCAGTATATCATATGATAATATGGATAGACAAAAGTATTTCAGCTGGCTTTTATGGGTATAACTGGTAGTAACCCCCATAAGTTGGGATATGGGCCCTGTACAACTATCGTGAAGTATATCCAATTAGGAACTGCACCCTCAGGAACAGAATGTACAAGGTGGCGCCCAGTGATGCAAGTTGGGTTATAACTACCCTCCGGCATGCAAACATGACAACGGAAAATCCCCATTTATATACAGATGACTTTCACATTCAAACCTCCATGTATAATATTTGCGGGTTTTTCCAGCCAGCAACCTTTGACTACCAGAGGGAAGCATGTTTATTCCCATCTTGTAACGCCTGAATGTATCTCCCTTCACCCATTTTTGAGACAAAGCCAGATGGTCTAATTGTTGGTAAGTGGGTAAACGCCGCTTTCCATTCAACCACCCTAAATGCCATCCCCATGTTTTTTGGAACCATATCTTTTTTGTTGGACTTCTGTCAATTTGAATTTGAAATCCCTGTTGCTGCGTAGCTGTTGGATAAATGCCTGCAATGCATTGCAATGTGGTACCTCCATAGTTTGTCAAGTTGGTTGACATAACAAACATTCATGGAACAGTTTATGGTATATTTTAATCGAACCAGTTTTGATTGGGTGAAACTAAACCAACACACATTTCACATGTGGGAACCACCTTGTCTAAATCCATACAACCATACAACGCCATACAAATCCGCAACGACTTTCCAGTTGGTCGTGACATGCAACAACTCTCCGCAGTTGCTAAATTCTTGGTCAAGATCTCTAGGAAGGTGCGTTTTTTGTGTTTGCATTAGGCCTGTGCGGCCACCGCTAGAACCAATGTGTTCAGTCTACGGCACTGTCAGGAGAGGCACTGGCGGTAGTAGATGACTATGAAGGGAAAACTGCGAAAGAAATAAAACGATCTTTGGCAGCTCAAATTGGCATCTCCAGATTTCGACAGAGGTTTTGGTCCGAAGATTGGTCCGAAATTCAAGACGCTGTGGTTTTGGCCTCAGAGCCAATGAAGATTCAATTGGTTGTATTGGATTTTTTGCCACCGAGCTTGAAGACTACAAATTGATCAATGCATCCGGCCGCAATGACTGGAAGGCCCTTGAGAACTTGCTTCAATGTCCGCGAAGTCCCAACTTGACTGATGCACTTGGCTCGAGACCTTTGCAGTATGCATCACAGAATGGACACGTTGAATGCATGCCATTGCTGCT